ATTCTGACTCGATGGCACCTGACAACATTTCCCCTTGGGGAGAAAAAAGAAAAGCACAACCAGCTCTTGCAATTTTTCAGTTTTTTTCCCCTAAAGCATCTCCACTTCCTTTCTCAATTTAACTCAGAGAGTAGAGGAACAGTGCCTTAACCTCATTTTGCTCATCACAGACCCTCCTCAGGAAATCACACCTCTACTTTTGGACAAGAATGGGTTGTCAGAATCTGCTCAGCAGACAGAAAGACTGAGCATGCAAAGGTGATGGAGAAGTAGCTCTCTCTGGTGTAAAGGAATAGCATAGGAATGGTGGCAAATTACTTTGGCTGTGTCTGTAGAAGTTTTAATGGAATGCCGCTCTTCCTCACCTCTGCAGTAGTCAGACCCATCAGCACACCAGTTACAGAATGGAAGCAACTATTGATCTAATCTTCCTTTAACCCAGGACTGTTGAAATGCTATAAATAATCCTTATAAGAATGGAGAGGAGGATGGAAGAACAAGGTAGATAGGGGAACATGGAAGCAGGTTTGCATGCGCTAAATGGAACAGAGGTAAATTGTGATGTATGTTCAACTTTGAAACCACAGGGCTTGGTGATACAGGGATCAAGGCATAGACTGAATGGGTAAAAGAGGAAAAATAATTTTAAGATGTTAGACTGTCTTATGAATATTAGTTTCCCTTGCCTACTACTTGAATGGGTCAGAAAGGAATATTGGGAAACATGATTATGGAAAGCTTGTAAGCCCATCTTCAGTCTATAACTGATTGGAATACCTACAAGGGGTTCTAGAATTTGCCCAGTGAAATAGGCTTCCTGCAGAGCCTTTGTAGTCTGTAGGACCTTAGGTGGAATCCTGAGCCCCATCCAGAACCTTTTGAGGTGGGACATTCCCACTTGAAAGCATACCAGCCTGGAATATCTAGAGGAACAGAAGATACTTCTTGAAAGAAATGCCAGCAGGAAAAACCCAAAACAAAAATGGTAATCTGATTGGCTACTACAAGAACAAGCAAGTTGTTCGCCGGAAGCCATCAAGACAAACAATCAAGTTCCTTCAGGACAAAATCCTCTCCAAGATTGAAACTCAAAGGGAACACATGAGCAGACATGTAAGTTTGCTGGTTGATGATAACATTGGTCTCCTGGTGAGTGGAAGAGGGGGAAAAACAGAAATGACGACATGGGCTGAGTTCGACCACATTCCATAGATTCCTATTGGTTCAAAGTGTGGTGAGACTATTGGACACTTGAGTCCACAGATAAGGACAAAGCCACAGAGGGCTGGAGCTGAGAGCGAAGGGCCCAGATGATGTGAAGTGAGGGGAGATGCACAAGAATGCCCTAAAAAGAAAACAAGTGTAAATTGCTA